TTCCTGAGAGTTTAAGGGTTGATGCTGTAGCTGAGATTTTCCTGTGTATTTTCCTGCTTGGAAATGCAGGCTACTAAACTTTCCCTAAGGTCTGGGAGTATTTAGATGCTAATGCTAGTAAATGTGGATTTTTCTCATTTGAAGATTACTTGTTTGTCTCTGCATTCAGTACTAGTATCTCCTGAAGCCATAATTGAGCAGGGGTTTGGATGTCTGCTGTAGGGTACAGGAAGCTGTGAGAAAGTTCCCTTTGCAAATTCAGGATGTGATACAGGCAAGACAGCAGAAGTTAATGCACTTGCATTTATCGAAGCACACAGCATAGGCTCACACCAGTGGTCTCTGCCCCAGCAACTTGCAGTCTGGTTTATTTCTTAGGCCCCACACTTCCACTTTTGTGTATTTATTGTTCCTAAAATGGAAGATTGGCTTTAAAACATTTAGAAAGAGAACAAAGGAAGACTTTGAGAAACCTAACTCTTTGTTACAATCTAAAGAGTGATGACTGCTGTATTAGCTAGTGGGTTGTACACTTTTAGTTATTGTCCCATGCACAGAAACCCTTTTTCCCTCACCCAGGTTTTGTTTGTAAAGATGTGCTGAGCCCCAAGACTGACACAGAATGGATGGTGAGAACTGGACCCTCTTCCCTTTAAGAGATTACCACAGAACTGTAATCAGTGAAGCGACAAATATTAATTCTCTCTCCTCCAAGATCTTTTCTTTCTTTGTAAGAAGATTCAGCTTGGAAAGCTGTCACCAGCTTAATCAGTTTGCTATTATTGAGACTAGTGTTCATAGTACAATTTATTAAATCAGTTTATTATCCTCGCAACCAACTTCAGTGATCAGCTTGTGAAAACATTGGAAAACATTTAAAACTAGTGTAAGTGCTGCCTGTTTGGATAACAGCACATTTTGCTATTTAAAGGATTACCCATCTGCACCAACACAGGGAGAGAAGTTAATTTCAGTGATGTAGAGCTTTCTATTTCAGGGAGGCTTGGCTTGCACATTGTGATGGATTCAGGAAGAAGTCTAATTCATTCTTTAATAGTTAAACAGCATGTTAGGGCTGAGTATCTAAGTAAAGATGAATGGATTCATTTGTAATCTTAAACAAGCATGTCTGCATGTGGGGTAGGAACGGGAGGCTGGGATAACCTGGAAACAGATGAACAGTTGCACTTCAGGTTTTGGTGGTTGGAAAGCAGTAAAATAACCTGCAGGGAAGGGAAACCAGCCCTGTCTGCTCTAAAGGGAATTCTGTGCCTTTCAGCAGAAGGGAGAAGGTTCCCTGGGTTTCCAAAGTGCAGTGGCTCTCCCATCTTCATATCTTCAGCCTTTTGAGTCAGACCACCACAGGAGTTTCATATAGAGGAAAAAAGTCTTACTTTGACAGCTTTGGGACCGCTTATGTTAAGAGGGACTGCTGTTGAAGCTTCTCTGCTATCTTCACACAGTTTTATTTACAGCTCAAAATAAAGCAGTAGTTCTTGACTGGTACTGTTAATGTATACGCTGTATATCAAGTTTATTGCAAAGTCTGTTAGCAAGCTACCAGCCTAGTTTTTAATCTGCAGATAATCTTACTCTCATTTATATGCTTGGGCTCTATTACTTTGCCCAGTGTAGGCACAGCCGTTGGAATCCATCCAGTTCACCTAACAACTTTCATTAAAGAAAATTGCCCTTGTACTAAAAATCACTCAGTGTGACAAGATTCCATAATATATTTTTTAAAGCCTCATAAAATTTTGTGGCAGTTAATGCCTCTTGTTTGTTTTTCTGAGATTTTCTTTTAAAAGCAGAAATTGACTTAATTGTGACAATATTTGTAATAGAATGAAGTAACTGTTTTCTGAGTGTATGAAGGCCCGGCTGTATGCAGGAATAGCACAGGGATAAGGAGCTAAGAAGCCTTGTCTTTAAAAGTATGTTTTATTGTGTTTTGTTTGTTGTTTGTGAGGTTGCTTCACAGTCTGTGACTCTTTAGCAAGGGGAAGTAGATATAATAAATTCAGCTCACTTGCAGTTCATGGTACATCAGTCTTAACCTTACAAAATGCAGTGATCAAGCATGGATTTTTCTGCAGCAATTGGGAGCAGCTCATCTTAGCATCATCGCTCCTGGCTTCTGGGACTTGGTACATGTGTCCCCTGCATCACACATGGATGCTGATGGAGCACCTTTGTTCCTTCAGCCATCAGAGGCATAAGAAGATTCCTAATATGAGAGAGATTTCTCACGAGTGCAACACAGAGCAGGCTATGTGCTGTGAGTGTGAAATGCTTTGGTATTTCTTTACTATGGAAACATAGTAAGTTAGTGCTAAAAAAGCAAACCCAGCATTTGGTAACGGAATGGGAAGTCAGTGAATTAGGCTACCTGGTGTCTCTTTGGAAAGTACTTGCCTGAGAACTCCGTGCCTCCTATGCTGCCTTTTCTCCTGTCATGCTATGAAAACAGGGAAATCTCTCAGTTCTTAACTGCTTGTTCATTCATAGATACAAATCAACCAGTCTTCAGGTTGAAGTCCAGTGACTTCTGTTCACTTGCTAGTGTGTGTCTTCCTGTGTGAGACCAGATCCAAAGCTGTGCTTGTGTTTCCCAATGGCAGGCTCAGCTGGACCATGCTCATACCCTTGGAGGAATGGGCTAGGCTGCCTTCAGGTGTCACTCCACGTGAGAGTGCACACCAAACCAGGACAGTTCAGACAGGTATATCATGCCAAAACTTAAAATGACTAGTACACAGGTGGAGGACAAATCTCTGGGATCTTTCACAGTCTCATTTTCTTGTTTCCAGCAAGAGTTGGAGAAAATATATATAGATTTCCCATCGCTTTGGAGCTTTGGATTTATTAAGACTTTGTAGCTCTGGTTTAGATAATTTAAATATTGTGGGGTCTGATCTTACAAGTGCTACAGAATCTGTGGCTGTTGTTAGGGGAATTGGACCCTGAGCATCTGCGTGACGGTTACCTCCTTCCTTTGCCTACCTATAATGAGCATCAGCAGCCACTCTCATGTTTATCTTAGGTAGATTCACTAAGGTGTACCTTCCATCTTGGGCTTAGCTGATTTATGCTTGAAGTGAGGGTTGGTTGTTCTCTTTTCTGATGAACTAATCCTTTGTGATAAACTAACAATGGCAAGGGATGAGCTGTGATATTAAGCAGTGGTGGTGGCTTTTCTATTTGTTCTTGTTGAGTCTACCCACTGTTTCAGGATGAAGGCAGCTGCAATAATAACATATCTAGTTTCTATGGAAGGCCTTTATTTGAAAAATCTGTAATTGAGTGGACAAAATTCCTGGTTGCTTGAGAGGATCTGTTCAAAAGAGACTTGAAAACGGTGATGGAAAAGCGTGCTAGACAGTGAGAAGGGCTCTATTGAGCAGAGAAGCCTACATAGATATTGTGGGACAATTACACTTGTCAGGCAAAACAGTAAAATGCATTTGTGAGCAAAAAAGTCCTGGGGAATGTTAAATAAAGCTTTGAAAAGGGCAAAGAGCTTGGTAGGAATACCTCAAAAGCAAAGCTGATTTGGCTGATGTTTGAAGGAAGGCAGGTGATGGCTGCTTCAAAGTGGAGGTGCAGACTCTGTGTTAGTCATAGGGATTTTGCTCATTTTTTTACTTCCAGTAGCTAAAACCCTGAAGCACAATTGCTGGGTCAGTGCCATCAGGGGGAGTTTTATAACTTAATGAAGTTTATTTGCCCCTTTGCTCTTTTTAGAGACTTATTCCAATACCTGGCTTCCCTGGTGCCCTGTTCAGGGTGTTCTCACACTGGCTGCCTTTTCAGCCCCTGCCTTTCATTGCTGCTTTGGAAGCCAAGGAAGACACTGCTATACAGAATGGAGTGGATGTGTTCCCTGTAGTCAAGGCAAATAAGCCTGTGAGGTTATTTGTATTTGAATGATTGCCTCTATTCAAGTTGTGTTCTGTGAGATTTTAAGATTAGTTAATTGCTTAGATTTGACAAAGTAGCTTTTGCCTAGCAAGACTCGTTTCCTTGATCGGTTGCTGATGGCAGTGGATAGGATGGTGCATTAATGAACAGTCCCTGGCACGCTGTGAATGGGGTTTGCTGTCAAGTCACTCAAAACTTCAGATGCCGAAAGATCAACCCATTAGCGATTAGGCCAGCGTCAGCTTTTAGCCTATTTTTAGGTTTTTCTTTGGTGCTTCACTCTTTGATGTAAAGACAGCTGTGTGCCCCTCACTCTTTGTGCAGACCAAGCTTTTTCTTTGCACTTCTAAACAAGCTGTCTATTGTTTTGATCACTCAGTAATCTTCTGCAGCTCCCCTGTTTGAATTCTTGTTAATTGTGGTGACTACAAATGTCTGTGCTAATTCAGATGTGGCTTCAGTCCATATTCAGTAGCGTAAATATTTCCGTATTTAAATGCAAATATCTCCTCTGATAAGCATTTAATGAAGCCATCCAGACACACACAGTGGCTATGCCTGCCGTGCTGGCTTGGAGGGACGGCTGACTAGGCTTTTTGCGGTTTGTTTATGCATGAGTAGATAGATGGTCATGTATGTTTTGAGGAAACCCAAAGCAACTTATATCCGCTGAGTGTTTACTTCTGAAAGTAAATTGGCCTCTGTCTTTTCTAAGCTACATTGGTTTTCCACAGAAGTGTCATAGAATCTCTGCTCTGATAAAGTTCTCCCAATGTTCTGCTGCCTGGTTTCTTATTCGTCTTCCTCTGCTGCTTTCTTTCTCATCCTGCACTCCTCCATCTTCTAGTTCTTCCTTTTATTGTTTCCTGCATCTAAGGTTTTGGAACATCTTCAGGAGTCTTGGTTAAGCAGTTATGTTTAAACCCTGGATTTAAAGGAAATCATTCTTCCTTTTTCCTGCTACTGCACTTGTTAAGTGCTCAGGCCATACTTCCAAAGATACTTCTTTCTGGTAAAGAAGGAATGGCATTTTTAAGAAGTTATTTGTTACAGTAATTGAATTTCTCATTTTCATGCAGAACACCTGAAGAAACGCCTGGAAGATTACATGGCCCAGTTCCCAAATGTAAGAATCCTCCGAACCAAAAAGAGAGAAGGGCTGATAAGGACTCGGATGCTGGGGGCCTCTGTGGCCATAGGGGATGTCATCACCTTCTTGGATTCCCATTGCGAGGCCAATGTGAACTGGCTGCCACCTCTGCTTGGTAAGTGTGTGGTGCTGTACATGGCTGAAGACTGAACTGCTGAAGAGCTGGCAGCTTCTGCTTTCCTCTCATGCTGTAAGTGGTCAAAAAGAAGATGATACGTCTTAAAACCAAAAACAAATCACCCACAAGACTTGGGTGAATTGTTGGAAACTTACAGCCTTTAATTTTTTCCATTCTAGAGCCCTGCACTGTACAATAACCCTATCATATGCTTTGCTTAATTACAAAGCAGAGATCATATTCTTCTATTTCCTTACTAAATGAAATCATAAGTAATTTATATCTTGCTAGAAGGCTAAACTATCACATGGTCATTCAGCAGCTTGCAGAGGAATGGCTTTATGAATCAGAAAAGACCTTTACATATAGTTAAGTAGATTTTAGGTATTTTTTCTTCTATGGAGCTATATTTAACTTCATAGCCTGCAAGCCTGTGGAAAATACTTCTTGTGAATGACAGCTGCTGGTATGTCTTTGTAGAACATATGCAGTCCTTTCCAAGGCAGTGCTTCATCTTTAAGAAGGCATCAGTTTTACGACGTCAGTTCTTTTCAGGGATGACTAATTGAAAGGACAGTGCCTTCTGTTTCTGGTACCTGCATGCCTCTGGCCAGTACCAAACTCCTTCACAACCCTATTGCAAGTGACCTGTCAAAGCTCTCTGTGGTGTGACTTTGTTAAATAAACTGTGGCACCAATAGTCAAGGGGAGGTTTAAGACAAACTAGTTGTACTTGTCAGCAGGATTGCTGGATGGTAATATACTGTTGCTTTCACTACAGTTTGTATCTGGCAATAGTATAAAACATTTGCTGCTTCATGAGCCCCGGGGAAGGAGGACAGAATTAGCTCAAATGCCATTTAAATGAGAACACGTAGAGTATGCATTAATTTTAAAGCATAGAAAGGATTTGTTAGACGTGCATTGGAAGCCGAAACATCATTTGTCGCCTCTGCTCTGATAGGTAACTTCCAACAAGAGACCATCTCAGTGATAAAGTATTTAAGAAGTTCCAGATGTTTATGCAGGAATTAATCCTGTGTTGTTTTATCTGGTTGGAAGAAAAGGTTGAGGGGAGGAGGTACACTTGCATTTCTCGAACCTGCTGAGAGTAGTTATGCCATTAGTCTGGATCGCTTCCTGCCAGATTCTGGCATAGCAGTTAAAGGTAGGTGCTACGATGGGTGATTGCCCTGGCTTTGAATCAGTGCAGAAAGGGTTCATATCCCAGTTCCTCATAAAAATGGGGACTGTTCACTAAGTGCAGGATGTCTGTTTTCAGCCTGGCGGTTTAGGTATCTGTGCTAGTGTGCCTGTGTCTTTCTGTTCTGCTCCTGGGTGATCATAGAATGGTTTGGGTTAGAAGGGACTTTAAGCTTATGCACAAGCAGGGACACCTTCCACTAGAGCAGGTTGCTCCAAGCCCCTGTGTCCAATCTGGCCTTGAACACTGCCAGGGATGGGGCAGCCACAGCTTCTCTGGGCACCCTGTGCCAGCGCCTCAGCACCCTCATAGTAATGGCCACTGTAGCATGAGTGCCTGGTGGTTTTATCTCAACAGTTCAAGCTGCAGTATTTCATTGCAGAAATACCAGATGAATTGATATAAATCGGAGCATCTGCCCAAAAGAATGAACGGGAAGAAAACTATGTCATTCTTGGACAACTTTGTATTTTGATTACTCTTCTGTAATTTCACGGTCAAAGGAACCAGCTGGTGCAGGTTCTCTAACGTGTTTCTCCAATCTTCAGATCGCATTGCCCGAAACCGGAAGACTATTGTTTGCCCTATGATTGATGTTATTGATCATGACCACTTTGGATATGAGACTCAGGCTGGAGACGCGATGCGAGGTGCATTTGACTGGGAGATGTATTACAAGAGGATCCCTATTCCTCCTGAGTTACAGAAACCTGATCCCAGCGATCCCTTTGAGTAAGTTACTGAAACGAAGCGTGCTAAGAGCTATCTAACAAAAGAACACCCTGTTACAGGGTTGTTTTACACCTCAGTGTAGTAGAAGTCAGAAGCTGGTCTTAAGCTACTTGCTTTTTGGCAGCTGTTTGCTTAGTTGGTCTGAAAGAAATGCATTGTGTAGTAGCTGTGAACACTCTCCTTTTCATTGCTATTTTTTGCCACCTTAATTCCCACAGAAGTTAACATTTCATTTAAAACTGTAATGTGTAACACTTAATGTGGTCATTTATTACTGAAATCTTTCAAACATAACTTAGTATCGCTAATGCTTTGCCAAAAACAACAAACCAATGGCAGCTTATATGTCATTCCCAGGTGGGGGAAGAAGCAAAACTAGCAGTATAATTACAGCAATTTTGATGATTGCAGTGCATTGCAGAAGTAAATCTGCGATCAGGTTATGTTCTGCTGTTGCTGTGCTTGCCAACATTGAGACAGTTCTGCTGTCCTTTACAGTTATGCAGTGTTCCAACAACACTTTTTGAGGTCAAGCTCAATGACTTGACTGTACTTCTGAGACAGAGCATCCCATGTGCAGCATATGGGTCCCAATGGGAGAGGTTATACCCTGTCACTTCACGGTGAACTCTTTTGACTGTTTGGAGGAGAGGCATTGACTAGTTCTGAAGGGAGCCTGGTCTGGTCCTCCTCATCTACAAGTGGGAAATTTAGTAAATAATGCAAAAAGTGCTGTTTGATGCTCTGATAGGGCTGCAAAGGCACCAGAACACGGGGTGGTGAAAAGAATATTTGTCAAATCTTGCTTTGTTTTTTAAATGTTTAGCCAGAGATCTGTATCTTTGAATGTGTTTGTAATACGGAGTCTGGTTTTTCCTTAAGGTCTCCTGTAATGGCTGGAGGACTGTTTGCAGTCGATAGGAAGTGGTTCTGGGAGCTGGGAGGGTATGATGCAGGTCTGGAGATATGGGGAGGAGAGCAGTATGAAATATCCTTTAAGGTGAGCTATGTTCTCTGGTAATTACTTCTGTTTTGAAAAGTAAGAATTGTTCCGAGGCGCAGAATGTGAATGATCTATCTTGTCCTTGCTTTTGCGTGTGACTAAAAGGTGAAAGAGCTGGGAGTAGTAAGATAGTACACAGAAGAAACAGCGATGATGTGACCAGTCATTTGGGAGGGTCAGTTCTGGAGCATGATTAGCTGGGGTGTCCCCCGTTCTGTGGTCACAGCTTCACATACGTGCACGCCTCTCAGCAAGGGTAAGTCAGTTTGTGTGGAGCTCTCTGACTTTAGGCTTCTTACTACTCACCCTAACAAAATGATAAAACACCCTCCTTCTTGAGGGGAGGAGGATTCTGGCAGCTCAGTGTTTGCCCAGTAGCGTTCCGCAGTCCTGAGCTGGAGTTCCCAGAGATGAGAGTAACTTACTGTCTATAGTCAATCCATCTGACTCCTGGCTGCAAGGAACTGAGACTATTAATTACCCTGTAAGAAATACTCAACAATTGGAATAACAACACTGTTGCTGGCAATGACTGCAGATCATTAACTGCCTGGCTTGGGGACAATTCTGTTACTTACTGATTGACCAAGCTGTTCAGTTGAAGGCTTTAAAGTAAGAGTTAGACGACCAAAACTGCATACCAATAGTAACGAGTCACTGTGACCCACGAAGACCTCTGGTACCTGTGTTACCTTGGAATATGGCACTCTGAAATCTATTCTAGGAAACCCTCTGGAATGTCCCAGACCACTGAAGGCAGATGGCTAGTTTTCTCTTCAGAGATGAGAGTCCTCTCCTTAGTCTGGAGTGAACTGAGTAAAGACTTCTACATTAAACTGTTAGGACTGCTGTATGGTTTCTCTTTCACAGATTAAATATATAACCTTACAGGTGTTTGGATGCTCCTAACCTAAGCTAGTGGACCTCTGCATGGGGCCAGAAGATGGTAGCAGTGCTAACAAAGGGCATAGTTTAGCTTCAGCAGCTAAAATTCCTCATGTTTCCCCTGACAAACGAGTCATGGCTGATCTCTTACAAAACAGATTGCTAAATCCCAATGCCCCTGTGCAATTCAAAGGCATACCCAGCTATATTCAGCAAGCCATGTTACCGTGTATACCCACTGTGGGCTGCTTACTGCACAGTGAACGACAGGGAAAAAGAGACGCTGTTTTGAAGACAAAGTCTTTTCTGCCATTGTTTGCTCATAAACAAACCTAAAGTAATAAAGTCGCATCAGAGGTCCCTTCTCTGTAGCGGTAGCAGGAAGGGTGGGATGAGGGTACCCTCTTTGGAGATGTCATTGCAGTTAGAGCCAGTTCTTTGTGTTGCATGTGATGAAATTGTGAAACGCTGTCATTCTCTGCAGGAGGGGCAGTGGCAATATTCAGCCTCTTTTCCTTGGCTCTTTTAGGAAATGCTGGTTTCCAAGAGTGATGACAGTAGCTGGGGAAGCCCTTTGTCTCTAATGCCACAGCAGATAGTCACACTGCTCGATCTGCAGGAAATAAGACTACTTCATTCATCTGTTTGCTTATCCTCTTTGAAACACAGTGTTTTATTTCAGTCCAGAGACGGTAATTTATGGAGGGATAAATTGGCTTTAATTAATCTCTGCAAAGACCCCCTTTTTCTTTCACTGAGCAACAGAAAGATGAAGTTTTAACTGAAAGAAGCTCAGTGTATTTTCAGAAATTAAGATAAATTGATACATTCATCTGTGGCTGATAGATGTAATAATTCTGCTGGAATTGTAAGAATAGAAGGTTTGTTCACAGAATTTATGAAGCTATGACATTTCCTGGCGAGCTCAGAGCTACGTTTTTACCTTTAGAAAGAGACTGAGATTTTGTAGTTAAAGAGGCACTGTCAAATAATTTAGGGCTCTGGGTTTAGATGTAGGGTACCTGCTTTCATATTATTTATTATCTGATGGGAATTCAGATTCTAAGGGTGCCAAATTTACAGCACAGCTTCAACAAAGAACCCATTCCTGGCCTGGGAGTTGTGGGTGTAGGTACTCTTTTTGTACTGCTGGTCTTTGATCCATTGCATCAGATCTGGCCTTCTCCAGCCTCACCAGGAGCAGGGTTTTCTTTCCTTAAGCATACTCTTTTTGGCCATGTATGGACTGTGCTTTACAGGTTTTCTGTCTTTATTTTGAAACCCAGGGCTCTGTTGCTGAGAGACTGGAAATAAACAAGTTTATTTAGGAATCTCTTCCCTTTCTGTTTTGAGATCATATGTATTTCTGTCATCACCTGGCTCTGCTTCCTTCTCAGAAGAAACTTTCAGTCTGAAGGCAAGCCAGCAGAGAAACCATCAGTGTATAGCACCTCAGAAAATAGTTAGCTGGAGGATGCATCAAACTCTATTGATAGAAGCTTTGCTCCTTGTATGAAATGTGTACGCCAGGCATCACTAGGAAATGTAGCATGCTGAAGGGACCAAAAATGTAAGTGAACCTTAGATTAGAAACAAACTTTCTAACCATAACTGTTGGTTTGTAGTTTTCTGGGTCTTCTCAAAACCTTAAACCAGAAATGTCTAAATTAGAGATGGAATCAATCTATTCCACGTTCAAGCAGAAAGCATGTGCATCTTCCTTCTCTTGGCCTGGGTATAGCAGTGCCTATAACCCAGTACTTCTACAGGTCAGGGTATTTCCTGCTTCGGGCCATCACCAGATGCAACAGGAAGATTTCAGTCTTAAATTTTAGTGGCAGGCATTACCCTTGTTCAAATGAGCCTCACTTTTCCCTGAACCCTGCTTGCAGAATGCTCCAGGCAAACTGCTCTGCAGATCTGCATGCTGTAAGCACCATTCCTATCAGTGCTTATAAGCACCATCCATCTCAGTGGATTGCCAGATGCTGACCTTTGAATACATGCTTGTATTTTAGAGAAAGGGTAAACAAGCATGTACAACTGTTTCTGTGTGGTACTTGGTACCTTTCCTCTCTGCTACTCCTCACTCTACAGCCATAGTTTCTCTGTTCAGTTGACTCCATTGAGGGGTATATTTGGTTTTGGGGAGTCACTTCCAGCCTCTCCTCTCTGTCTTTTTGTCTCTTCATGCAATGCTTTTTCCTGGTCGTTTTGTCTCTTCCTGCAATGAAGTGAGCAAAATTGAATACTTTACCCCAAATGACAATGTGTCTGTCTTCGTCTAAACACAACTTAATAGCTCTGATTTTCAGTATGTTCCTGCATAATCCTACATTCTGCTGCCTTTGTAACCACTTCATTTTCTTTGAGATTATTGTATTTGATTTGGAGCAGTATCTATGAAGCATTTAAACTCTTCCTTACTGCAAATGCTACCCTGTACAGCACTTATCTTCGCTCAGTTTTACTTGTAATCATGTTGCCTCTTTTCCAGTATTTTTATGGCTTCTATTCTGTTTGGCTTACACAATCTTCACTAAACTGCTTTATACCTTTCTTCCTTAAATATGTAGTGTCTGATTTTTTGGGTATGGGGAAAAAGTGATGTTTTATATAGGCATAAATATAGATGTACTTTGTACCACAGATCTTGAGTAGTTCTGAGTCTTTTATTTGTACATTGTACTTCAGGAGCAAGAATGAGAATCTGGATGTCCCTCACTACGTGGTCTATCATTTTGGTTTGAGAAATGTTTGTCTTGTAATCTAGAGATTGTAAAGCCTTCATAAAATGCAGAGGGCTTGGTGCAAACAAGCCATATCGACAGTTGCCCTGAAAAGAACAGATAAAGGGAAGGCAAAAGATAGACAGTACTCCTCATCATCACTCTTTGCTTCAGCAGTAGGAAACATCCACTCCACTTATTCTGGTGGTCGTAGATCATTGCATTTTGCCAGATCCTTTTCCCAAAGCATCAACATGGTTTGTATAAAACATGTCACGTATTTTCCAACAGATCCAAGTGTTCCGTAGCTTCTGTTCAGATATGCATCTTCTTTCCCCCATGTCAGCAGCACATTTCTCATGCACATTTTGCCCCTGGCAGGTGTGTGGTCAGGGTACAGCTGCCAAGGGATCGCTTCTGACAGCATTTCTGGTTGTACATTAAGTTAGTGCTGATGGTGAGCTTCCACTGCTTATTCCAGGCACATCCTCACACCACTTTCCAGCAGCTCACGTTTGCCCACACTGAAACAGGCCAGACGTCCTGCTGCTTTTTTTGTGGTTGTTTTAAGCCAGCACATGCTGCTCAATTCTAAGGCTCTCGGCAGCAGTACAGGATGGCTTCCTTCTCCCTCCCTAACTGGTGATGCAGCCATCGGTTTCAGACCATTGACTTGAATTTTTGGCCTCTGTTCACGCTGTGTGCTTGGTTCAGGCTCCAGAGTAGCCTCCTGCCAAGCAGCAGCAGGAAAGTGGACCCCTCCACTCTCTGGAAGGTGATTATTGGAAACTGCTATCATTACTCTCAGATGCTCCAGACGGTAAGGAGGGGCCGTGCTGGTTTACGTTGTGTGAGAGCAGGCATTGTGCAAACACATAGATCCCAGTGCCTTTTGAGCTACCTTAATCTCTTATAGAGCAGTAAGTCCCAGCTGCAAGAATAGCTGATGCTTACAATTCTGAGGATTATGATTTTCCTGCACTATTGGATGCCCTTGCTTTCATCCTCTCACCTACCTTGTTATGCAGAGAACCCCCTTGACTTATCCGCTGTGTCCTTTTCTTCCCACCTTCCAGGGTGTGCTCAAACAAGCCATTTTCTCTCCATTGCTCATCCCATGGTCTTTATTTCTGTTGTGGCTTGCAGAAACAGCTTTCTTTTCAAGGCTTGACTTTTTCCTTTGTGTGTTTTCCCTCTCTTGGGAAGCATTGGCTCATCATGGAAACCATAAACCTTGTATACCCAGATAATTACGTTCACACACCAACTGCAGTATTGTATTGGGTGCTTGAGAGGAGAGGTTCAGCTGTCTTACGTGACACTGTTTTCTGAAATAGCAGGAAGGGAATTGGATCAACATAACATTCCCATGTAGAGAATAGGTGGCATATTATCTTGTGCTTTCATAGCACACGAGCTGAGTCAAAGGCTCTTGAGCTGTTTTATGAATATGGAGTTACAGCTCTCCAGGCCACTGAGAAGATGGAAGTAATATCACTGGTATTGTTATTTTACTTCCTTTGTAGGTGTTTATTTTATCAGGCTGAGATTGTGCCCTAAGAAAAATCTGTTGCAGTGTGCACATTGACCTCAGTGTAGGCAGGCTTTCTCTTAATTTTAGCAGATCTGTCAGCTCTTAGATTCCTAGCTCAAAATGTAGATTGGTAAAATTGGTGCCTGAGGAGGAAGAGAAGTTTCCTGTTCTCTCTTAATGAGATCTGATTAGATCACTGTATAAAGCACTGCCTGGCCAGCTTTAGTTCTTGTTCTTGTGGCATTCTAGTAAATGGCTGATTGAGATTAAGTGCGTGAAGTTCAGGCTCTGATGTTTGCAGTCGTGTCAGCCAGGGAGATGAGGCATCATCTCACCCTTCTGTAAAACAACAACAAACTGGCTCCCCTGGCCTAAGGAGAACACAGGAAGTGTCAGTCAGTGTTACCATGAAGGCACAAGGTACTGCCCCACAGAACAGTGCTGTTTAAGTTGTTTGACAAAGCTGTATTTATAGCAGTGTAAGTTCTGGTGTGTTATGCTTGTGAGCTGTACCCTTGTTTAAAATCAACCAAATATCACTAACTGAGTGGAAGCATCCTCTCAGCTATTTTGGGTTTGCTTCACTAGCAGTTATTCCTTGAGACACCTCTGGATGTGATTCACCTGACCTTTAACTCTTTCTAATGCTTTTGTTAGCTGTGTTTTACCAATGCATGTCACGCTTTTTCCCTCTCCCCCTTCTTCCAGTTTTATAGATAAGGACTGGTAATTGTCTTTATGGAGGTTGTAATGAGTTCTGTCACCACACAAAGCAGCTCACTAATAAAATAAATCAAAGCAGCAATGAATGAATGGAAAGCATGCTTTTAAAATTAGATTTGTACTGCGAGTGCTATACTGTCACTTGCAGCATGAGACAATGGTAAAAAGGCACTGAGTTGGCAAAGTACCTTGAAAGGGTCACTGAGCTCTGCTAGCAGGCATTAGGAAGCTTCCTGTTGCCTCCATGCAGCACTGGTAATCACAGCATCATTTGGGAGTAAATATTTTAAAGCAAGATCAGAAGAGCATGTAAAACTGATCTTGGATTGCACTTGTTCAGTAACTCGGTTAAAAAGCTTTTCTTATCGTATCATTACATGTGTTCATGCAGTGTCATCTTCTGTGCCTGGAGTCTTGTACCGGCTTGGAGCTCCTGGCCCAACACAGCATCAGTTGTGTCTAGCTTCCCATAGCCCCTGCCTCTCCAGTGTACTGCTCAGCAGATAAGTGCTGCCTCTAGTATTGCTTCACAAGATCTGCAGTGCAAGGACAGGGTTCTCTCTAGCTGCGTGTTGGCTGCAGGAGTCTGTTTCTCCCATGAGGAAAGTCATGTTTTTGGAGATACGTATTCAGTGTGGCCTGACTGAAAGCCTTCCCTTAGAGATCAGGGGCAGGTGAGGCAGCGAGGATCACAAGCTGCTGTTTGCATTTTGTCACTCTTGTGTTGCACTAAAACGCAGCTGCATGTGAGCAGAAAGGGCTTTCTTGATGCAGGGTGCAGTGCACAGGCTGAGAATGTGGGTTGTTGAGGAGTGTGTGTGCCTGTGCAGCCGAGCTCGAGGGTTCTTCAGCTACTCCTGCAGTTTTTTATAGCTTCCAAATCTATTGCAGCTCTTGCGCAAACCATTTCTGTCATAGAAAACATCCCCAAATTCTTGTTTTCTCAGCCTATCCGTTAATTTCCTAGCAGAGAAATCACGCTGTGGCCCTCTGCAACAAAAAGCACAGCAGCTACAGAATAAGAAGCATTTCTAATTTCACTAGAAACTTCAAAAACACCGGGTGCTAGTTTCTTTTTTCGTCTTCGTCTCTTCTCTACGAGCTTCTCAAGACACAGCAGGGACAAAAGGAATGAAATTCTGTAGAAGGAGTGTTTGTCAACTTCCTTCTTGTCTCTCTCTTGCTATAACGACATGTAATTAAGTACCTTGAACTTTAGAAGTTGCCTGTGAAAAATAGTCCCCTTACTGAGAGCAACCAACCTCCATTAAGTTATACACAGTCAGCAAATGACTATAATTATTAGGGCCAGTAGACAGAGCTGAAACTCCAGAGGACTTTCGTGTCAGAGCTAATAATTATGCAGCAGCCTTAGCCAAATATTTCTCTTCTGAGCTAAGTATTTAATATTGTCACCGTAGAATATTAATGGAATTGCCTGCTATGTGTGAAGCTGTTGACTAAGCTCATTGTACGATGAACTGCGGTGGCTCAAATTAGCCACAGTGAGTGGAGAGATGAGGAACACCGCATCAGCCTGCAGCACCAGCAGACCTCCTTAAATAGTGCTGCCTTTGGGGCATTGACATAAGATCTAGGGACAAATTGAAGGGCAAGACAGTGTCGTGCTTCAAGAATTCAGTAAGTCGGTTGTTTTGCATACTGAAAGATACTCTTTCTTTTAAGTATTCATTAGGTAGCTCTTGGAAGCACGTATGAATGTAATTCTTAAACCTAATGAAGTAGATTGGCTGATTCAGAAAACATCTCCTTTGGTTTCATTTGGACAAAATTATTACATCCATGACATAAATGAGGAATAAAAGAAGGTTGTTGCAGCGCGTTGGCAAAGAATGAAATCTTCCCCAGTGGGAAAAGAAACTTCTGGGCCTAAATCTAGACATTAACCAAGCATCAAGGTAGTTCTCAACTAGCAGTGAGCTCCAGTGACTTTCTGAGGGCTTTCTTAAAGCTAATTATGTTTTTACCACGCAGGGATTTCCACTTAATTATAAGGCTGCAAAGCAGTGAGTGCATGTCAGCAATGAAACCATCTGAGAACAGTGGTAACCACAGGAAAACATAGCAGTTTCTTCTGGTTTCTGGCACGTAAACAGGCTTCTGAATTCCCTGGAGTGTCTTGGATAGCGCAGGACCTGTACTACAGAGATGGCCTCCCTTTTACATAGTCTACACCCTGGTCTTGTATGGCAGTCCAGTTTAACTATAGTGGTTACTATTGCTGTAATAACATTATCAATTTAAAGTGTGCTGTGTTCTGTCTTCTGGGTGCTTGGATTTTTTGTTTCTGTTCCTTTCTCTAAAGAATGCAAAATGGAACTGTTTAGCTATTGGGCTTGGTAGCACTTGTGCTAAATCAAGGCTTGCTGCATGGCTCTAAGCGGGTAGTTACAGGATTTGAGACTAAAGCGAGGAGGGGAGAGGGTGTACTTTAAAGTAAAAAAATCTGGGTTAAGCTTCTTCATTACTTGAAAGTCTTTTTTTTTCTTCCTTTCTTTCTATATAATCCAGACTGAATCTGTATCTCTGCTGTTCCACAGGTATGGATGTGTGGAGGTCGCATGGAGGACATCCCTTGCTCTAGAGTTGGTCATATCTACAGAAAATATGTTCCATACAAGGTTCCAACAGGAGTCAGCCTGGCCAGAGTAAGTGGCAATGGCATTACCCATGACAGATGTCTGACTGCAGTGTGACCATCCTGTTGTCTCCTCTCACCCCACAATGGGAGGCGAATGTAGGCTTCGAAGTCTATAAATCTGCTTGTACGGTGGTCAAATTGGGCAGTATTGCAGTGGTAGATGTGTATCACAAAGGGAAGAGAGCCCAGGAGCTGCAGACTTACGTGCAGGCAGCTCTATGCTCCAGACATCAGCTATTGCTGGGTGTTGGAAAGGGACTTTGCAATCAGGCACTGGCTATGGAATCACCAATAAAAACAAGATATGGCTTTAGCTGTATAATATCTCAGTCATTTTATAGCTGTGCTCCCCAAGAGCAGCAGGCTTCAGCATGGTGATTGTGTTTTGGAGCTTGAAAGACCTCTCAGCTTCAAGCATCACAGACCACTGAATGAGCAAGCTGTAATTTTCCACAATAGAATGTTTTGTGCCATCCTACTTCTTAATCTAGTGTGGCCCAAAGAGGAAAGAGCTTTTTCCTACATGCACTAGATTTCTCCAGTTAATTTCCAAATTAGGAAGGGATTGCATTGCCCTCTGGTGGGAGAAAAAATTCACAGGAGCAGGAAGGCTGCATAGGTAAAAACCACAAGATGTGCCCTGCTGTTCCGCAGGCTTGCGGCTTGCACAGTGTTAAAATGCTTCCCTGTTTAATGGCATCAGCCTAGTTATAGATTTGGATTTACTACTCAGCCCAGCAATGACCTGTCAGAGCGACAGAGTGCTCTCCTCTCCGTGCCATCCCTTTAGGAAGGAGCTATATTTCTTTTGATTCAGTATTTGGCTCTTGCATACTCCCACACTGCTGGAAGGGGATGGTAGAAGGGTGCAGGAAAGGCTGTCTCTTGGCATCTAAGGTCATACAGTCGCCTTACGTTGTATGTAGGCTGCATTTGGGGCAGGGTCAGCACACTGCTCATTCTCAATATCCTCAGCTTTTGGTAGCAAATGGTCACTGCTGGACTGGCTGACTTCATGCCAGGCGGGCAGTGCTGCTGGGTCACTGAAGCCATGACTGCACAGGGCACTGTGTGGCACCAACCATGTACCTGTTGTTGCCAGAGAACAGTGCAAGGTCCAGTGATCTCTTGAGTGCGTTGTGATGAGCAGTAGGGTGGTTATTTCGACAGGGGCTTGGAATTGCACAGTGGATTAAGCTTTACTGTGATACGTGAAGTACACTGCTGCTAGGAAGTAAAGCCCTGAAGGGTCATTACCTGAAAGTTCTGTGTTCCCGGGGTATCTCAGAGTTTCTTTTAAACAGCTTTTTACCCAAAAAACCTGAAAAATAGTGGTAAGAAAAAGCATTGTGAACTGAAGCTTTCCAGAAGGGAGTATAACAAATCCCATTCCTAGATGGGTTAGAAGATGCAATAAGAAGGATTTAAGAAAGCAGCTTTTTGTCAGGGACCTTTGAATGTCCAGTGGTATTTACCAGCGTCATTTTCTGACTAGCTTCCTCAGAGAAAGAAGAAAAAGAAAAGCCTTTGATTAATGTTGTTTTTCTTAGCCACAAGGAACTAGATATAATGGCCAAGTGCCAGGATTCTCTTTTGACCTCAACTGAAAATATGTTTCCAAAAGTCCCTTGGAACTAGAGAATAATAAAAATAATCTTCATCCTGAAACTGGAGAGAAAGAGTGGATGTGCATGAAAATCCTTCCCGAGCACAAGCAGGAGAGCTGTTCTGAATGCTAATGTCAGTAGCTTGTGCAGAGTGTTCTCGGGTGCTTTTCCCTCTGGTTTTCACGCGTGGCTGTTGCCCACACAGAACTTGAAGCGGGTGGCAGAGGTGTGGATGGATGAGTACGCAGAGTACATCTACCAGCGCAGACCCGAGTACCGGCACCTCTCTGCAGGGGATGTCGTGGCTCAGAAGGAGCTTCGCAACAACCTCAACTGTAAAAGCTTCAAGTGGTTCATGAACGAGGTCGCGTGGGACTTGCCAAAGTTCTACCCACCCGTGGAGCCTCCAGCAGCTGCTTGGGGAGAGGTAAGTTTGTGCTCTGGAGCCTGCAGTGGGCGAACAGGCTGTGGGTTGGTTTATTGAAGGTTGCCTTACCCCTGGGCTTCAGTAAGCAGTTTGCTGCGAGGTGGCAAGTGAGTGTTTAAAGATCCTGCTTGATATGTTTCAAAGACCAGAACTCCCCTACCATTACGCTGGTCTGATCAAAGAAGGCAGTTAGGCAGCTGTTTCTGTCAGTGCACAGCTACAGAGAGAATAGAGACTTGGCTTGTTCTGCATGTTGTGTACTTTGTAGAAGGCAGAACATGCCAACAGGGAGGGCTAGGGAGAGGCAGCAGCTGAGCAGTAGTATTTCCAAGGGCTACACAACTGTGTTAAGCTCCTCTGCTCCTTAGCTTTCCCATCTGAAAGGCAGGGAAACCATGCCTGGTTTTGAAAGTCGGCTGTGTTCTGGGGAAAGAATCACCCCAGGAGTGAAGTCGAGGATTATTACACAAAACAACATAGTGGGCTCCGCAGTCCTGTAGCTAATGGGTTTTGCTGTGTCCTGGAGGTTACTGTACCTCCATTTTTTGAATTCCTATGCTTTCTTCTAGCTGTCATCTGCCAGCTCAGATACCTACTGAAGTGAGGGATCTTAAAGCTGCCTTCATACAAATACTGCCGCTATTTAAGGCAATTTAAGACACCTTTCCTGTCACTCGGTAAGAGTAGGAGATTCGGTGACTAATTTACTATTTCAGATACGCAATGTAGGAACTGGACTGTGTGTGGATACTAAGCATGGAGCCCTGGGATCCCCACTGAGGCTGGAAAACTGCGTGAAGGACAGAGGAGAGGCAGCATGGAACAACGTGCAGGTAACGGTCCCTCTGGTAAATCACCAGCCCCTAAATAAATTTGGGAAGAGAGAAGTTACAAGAACAAATGTTGAATGTTTCAGAAGAAAGGTCATTGCAGAGCTCTATCAGGTGAAGAGAGGGTGCTGTGCACCCCAAGGCTCGTGTGCTAATTACACTTGATGGGCTTGTAGCAGGATGTGGTTTGTGCTTGTGGCGGGGTCTGGAGCCCGGTAGGCTTTGTGCAGAGATTTCACCTCTGCTTTGAGGTTCTGGGAGCGAACAAAAGAGAGCACAGGAAAAAACAATATGCCAAAATAATAAACCAGTAACAAGGCAGCTGTAATATGTAACAAAGTGAATATTAACTTCAAAGGTTGTGCTGGAAGAAGTGATAGAGGAGCATCATGCATATTAATGAACCCGCAGGAGCATTCAATAACCGCTTACTATCATCCTTCTGACAGGAGGCAAATGCATTATAAACACCGAACCATTGCTGGAGAGAGATGAAACTGGCCAGGCTATAGATTCACCCTCTCAACATATAAGGTGCCAGAAACGACAGCTTTATTGTAAGAAAAGGGAGGGAAATATTAGTTTGTCTAAACTGTGGCAGCTGAGCTGAGAAAAGATCAAGAAAACAATGCCTCTATTACAGAGCCATGCATAACTCTTCAGGGGAATGGCTTCGGTGGTAGGAGACAGAGGGTTGTTGCATATCAATTTTGATGCATGAACGCTAGAAATGAAAACAATTTACTTGGGCAGTCCAAAACTAAGCCTCTGTTCCGTGAGGAGGATCTTGAACAATTAGTGTTTAGGAGCATAATGTGATTGAACTTCTTTCTGAGTGTTAAGCCTAAATGATTGTGGTAATTTCTTTTGCAAGAGAGGTTTAAAGGAGAAGCAGGCACAAGAGCTGCGGCAAAAGTTCTTGGCCACGCTGCTTCAAATAGTAGCACCCTGCTCATCGCTGGTCTGTCTCACTGCCCCATGAGACATCTCTGAGGAGAGGACCACTCCTCAACCCAGCTCCAAAAGGAGCCCACAGAACAGCCTTCTCCTCAGGCACTGGCAGGGAGTTGTGCTGGCTAGAACCACGTTGGCTAATGCTGGTCACAGAGGACACTTACTCCCTTGCCAGAGATGCCGTTGTTGTCAAAGCAGAAAGCAAAAGGCTGACACTAGTGCCTGCCTTTAAACAAGTTTATCTTTTGTGGGATTTAGTCCCGTGATGCTTAAAACATATCTTAAGCCAAGCCATGCTCATCAGATTGAGTGTCTCTCTGCTGTGTCAAGCCATGGCCAAAAGCTAATGTCAAAGGGCAGAGCAAGGAGCAGAGCCACATGTTGAGGTGGTCCTTCACCAACTCTTCACCCATGGTCCAACCCCATGGTTCAGGGATTCCAAGCCACGTGTTCTAGCATCTGGCAGTTTTCAGGAAGGCCATAGCACTGCCAGGCATAGGCTGTGCCTACTTACTAGAGCTAAAAACCTTTCTCTTCTGTAGTAACCCTCCTTTCATTTCACCCAAGAAAGATCATTGCAGGGTCAGGAGAAGAGAGCACCAGGAAGTGCTGCCCTAGTGTTTGCCCTTCTGGGGTGGGGTGGGGAGCCGTGGGCTCTTGGTCTCTTGTCCCAGAAGATGTGGGACAGACTCTTCTCAAGGTGACTGCAGGCTGTCTGTGCAGACGTAGGTGTTTACTGCCAGTGTTAACCCTGAGCTCCTGTAGCTCTTTGCCTTTTCTGCTAGCTGTGAAAGGCTGTAATTGGTCAGCAGCTCACTTAATCCATGATGTATGTCTGCATTGCAGAGACATTCAAGGCTGCTATTAGTACTCAAGCTAACTAGCATGGCTGTTTGCAGCAGCACAGTCTCATTTAGCATGCTGTGTGGCAGTCCACAGGGTAGCTCTTAGACTCCCCTAGTCAGCAGTCCCTGTCCGCAGAGGTGGAAGTGGTTTTTCTCTAGAAGATACTGTCATTCTGCTGGTGAAAGCACCGTGCCCAGCACCGGCCACCCTGAGGGTCCTGTTTGTCCTGGCAGGTATTCACCTTCAGCTGGAGAGAAGACATCCGTCCCGGTGATCCTCAGCACACCAAGAAGTTTTGTTTTGATGCCATTTCCCACAGCAGCCCTGTGACCCTCTATGACTGTCACGGAATGAAGGGGAACCAGCTCTGGAGATACCGAAAAGTGAGTGTGTTCTGATTTAAAGTGTCAAATTGCCTGCAAGCACTGAAGTTTCCTTAAGATGTCACCGCTCATGTTTTATTCCTTCTCTTTGCGTAGCGGCGAGAAGAGACAACCTGTTGTAATTGTGCCATTAACTATCCTTGCTTAGAAAGAGGTGGCTCCCCTGTTCCACTGGTTAGAAATGGTGAGGATTGCTTCTCCAGGGCTTGCTAAGTAGGACACTCTCCTTGTAGCCATGTCCAGGGCTGGCGGTGAGGTGATGCAATATCCTTGCAAAACCTGTTTGACAAGAGGCGTGCTGTGTTTATTGGTGTGTTCTGAATACTAGAAGGTCATGCTGAAAGTAGATAAGGATGTATTCATTCTCCTATTAAGAAGCACTTTTGTGGGCAACAGGTAAGGAAATTCTTGACTAAATGCTGTGTCTTAATAATCTATACGCACAGTGTCAGGAGCGACTGCAGCAGTGACTGCACTGCTGGTTTCAGACTGAGCCTTAGACCTTCCCAGTGGAGGTGTGATATGGGCTGGATGCAATTGCAAGGGGTGGGAGTGGACCTTGACACTTGCCACCCAATTCAATGTGGAACAACTTGTTCAGGTACACCCAAGTGACAAAATAGGTTGCCTTAGTTTTCTTTGGGTTGGTTTTAAAACAGCTTTGCTTCTCTGCTCAGCAACCTCACGTCAGATTTCTCTTCTCCAGGACAAGACCCTCTACCATCCAGTAAGCAGCAGCTGTATGGACTGCAGTGAGAGCGACCGAAAGATCTTTATGAATAGCTGCAATCCCTCATCTCCAACACAGCAGTGGATATTTGAACATACAAACTCAACCATCTTGGAAAAATTTAACAGAAATCTTGATCTTTAAGAGACTGAGAAAATACATATATATATATTTTACAATTATAGTTTTTACTGGGGAGGGTTACAAAAACTTTTTTTAAGAGTACTTTTTTTTAAACAGTGAATGAAGGTAAAAGGGAGACTCTCAGGAGAAGGTTAACTAGCAGGCCAGGCTTTATTGTGAAGATGCTGCATCCTTCTCTTCTGGGGATGGTGGAATGTTAAAGGCTTTGCCAGAGCCACTTCTGTGCTGAGACTGAACTGAAACTCTGTTTTTAGAGGGGTCTGAATGCGATTCAAATTGCTTTTTGTTTGTTTTATTTCCTGCCTGGGTCTGGTGTTAAATGATTTTGTTATCCAGGACCCTCCAGGACTTTTTGTAGCTGCTATAAGGGCGGCCATGAGGGAAGATCATGAGGGGACAGGAGGGGCAGCCATGAGGGGAGATCATGAGTTGAGAGCAAGGGAAGCCATGGGATGTGAGGGGTCACTATGAGGGTTGAGGGGCAGCCATGGGATATAAGGGTGGCCATGGGAGGTAGGGTCAGCAGCTAGACAGTGCGGGCCACTATGGGGGGTAGATGAGGGGTGGCTGCGAGTGGAGATCATGAGGGACAGCCATAAGGGGAGATTAGTTTGCCCTTAGTGACATGGTTTAGTGGTGGGCTTGGCAGTCCTGGGGATTTGATGATCTTAAAGGTCTTTTCCAACCTAGTTGGTTCTATACCACTCGCTGAAGTGTTCCCACAGAGATGCTTTATCTTCCAAAGTCCATATAAGTAAAATCTTGAAGATTTAATCCTCCCACCAAAAAAGGGCCATCAAAATATAAAATTATTTTCTTTTCTTTTTCCTTGCCTTAAACCAAAATATATTTCAAACAGTTGAATATTATCACTTTCCATATCGCAGCTCTGATAAAGGAATGAGCTCTAGTGGAAGTGCAGCCACGTGTTGGGAATAGCGCTGTAGTTATTAGCGATGAGGAATCTGGCTTTCTGGTCCATTCACTTTGCAGTCAGTTTGTCACTCACTGTTGAATCTTCAAGGTGAAAGATTAGCAAAGGGGTTTGAAGTAAGCACAGTTCTTACAGGTGAAGATTTTTGCTAAAAGCCTTTGGATATCAGGTTCCAAATTTGCCTCTTATTCAGAATCTTTTTAGCATGGACACCTCTAGAGTTTTTCAGACTTTAATCTGTTACATGAAGGCAACTCACATTTTTCCTTTAGAGGTTTGAAAGCTAACTCAATTCACAGTTGATGTGAGCAGATTAGTTCAGGATAATTAAGTCAGGGCTGAAATTAGCTGTTGGTCTTTATCCATTTGTTCATCAGTGTGCAGTTTCTTGCAGTGGTGAGTCCTGTGGTCACTAGTATTCTAGGCTTGTGCTATTAATCTCTCTTCTTTTTCTAGCATCCACAGCACTGTACAGTTTCCTGTGGCTGGAAATCTGTTTGCTTAATCAGAGATGTGGGATTGATGGGCCTGTTTCATTGGTACCCTAACCTCCAGTTAGCTCTGCAAGGTGTTACCTTCTGGTTTGGCTGCAGGATGTGCCAGACACTGAACCAGAATAATCTCATCCCAGGAGGGATGCCTTTCTCATGTGAAGGCAAAGAGATCTCTGCCTAGTATCAAGAAACAAGCAGGCTGGCTCCCTCTGCAGAGCTCCAGAAGAAAGAAGCCCTTTCTGATGTTGCCAAATGTAGGACCACTGCCCATGTTTCAGATGTCTTTGAGGCCATGTAGTGCTGTGTCTGTCAAATGGGAGCAAACCAGGGCACAACTATCTGCCTCTCAAGCCTGATGTGTTGACTGTGAGGCTCAAAATCATTCCCACCTCTCTCATCCTCGCAGCTGAAGCCACATGCTGACTTACCTGGTACATGCACTCGCAAAGCAAGGGGAACATGGGCACTGCATTACAGCGGGGACCAGGCCTGCCAAATGCATTGGTGTGTCATGTTTTGGGAGCGAAAAAAGGCTCTAGGCTTTCCTTGTGACACTTGTACAGCAGTATTGCTATGGAAGTGAGACCAGCATCAGAGTTGACACCTTATGTTCTCAGCAACTACAATATGTCTGTCATTAGGATCTCTTTTCATTTCTGTGGGAGACAGAGCCACCTCCCAGTGCTTTGTGTCTGTTGCTTTCCTTAAGTTATTAATGCTCTCATTAGTCTGGTAGTGCTGACTATGGATCACTAGATGGCCTGACTAGATGTCTTTATGAATGTTTTAGTGCCTGTGGACAAGAAGCTGTCCATGAACAGTGCTAGTTTTTTACAGGTGGGACATGATCAGATTATAGGAATGGACTGTAGGTCATTCTGCTTGCAGCTTGCAGCTGTGTGTGTCTTAGTTTCCTAATGAGAGGATTAGCTTCTGTTTGGGAAATGCATGGCTTGCTTTGTACTTGGGCTCACCTGGTGAAGAGAGTCCTCGCTGCTTGGCTTGCTGGGCGCTTGCTTCAGAGAGAGCTGCGGTAAGGAACAGGTCTTTTACCACTTAGTGGTCTTAATTTGGAGAGAAAGGAAAGCTCTTAGCAGTTTGCACTGAAAGATTAGATAATTGTTGAGGCAATTCCTGTTGTCAAAACCAACCACCAGTACATGGAAACAGGAGCTTCAGTAAGAGTGGTCCTCCTGGGTCCTTCTCAGTGTGGTTCATCTCATCTGTTCCCTGACGTTTTGGGATCTGAGTGTGATCAGTACCTCACAAATTCTGACTGGCTCACTGGGCTTTGAGCTATTAATTTATTTACATTAATTATACTTTTCAATACCCTAGAGGCTTCACTGGCTAATAAGAAGACTTAATTTAACCAGCCATCCGCTGATTGAGAAATAGAGGCTGTATTTCATCATCTACGTCTTTAATTGAGCCTTTACTGGTTAATTATTCCAATTACTTTTGGTTATTTGTAAGCAAAATTGCTAAAGCATGAACACATAAGCGAATCTTCACATCTGCGTGCAAGTCAAGACTGGAGATTAAATATGCAAAATAAATGTTTTCATATCTTTACCCCCAAAAGTATTCAAACACCCCTCTCTCCATGGCTGCATAAATTCTGCTGCTTTTAAGTGTCAGAATCCCAGACAACAGGGGGATCCCTGGATGTGTGTTACATTGCATGATAATACTTTGATTTGCTCTTGAAGCTGTTGTTGATTTAATACTGGTGCTAATCTCTCAGGCCTACAGACAGAGTAATAGGTTTGGGGCTCTCATGTGTGCAAGGTGGCTTTTTTCATGCCTGGGAAATTAACTTTCTTTTCCACACCATAATAGAAGAACGTGTGAGCCTTACTGAAAGGGGAATTCAGCATCATTAAAATAAAGATGTGCCTTTTAAAATGTAAATGTACAGCAAATGCTTAAACTTGAACCATTTCCTAGTGCCTTGCTGGACAAGAGAGGAGAGGAGAAGAGGTTGGGAGATAAGGATGTCAGAGAAAGCTTGACTCGTGCAGTGTTTGTGTTTGTGTGTGTTTTCTAATATGTCCAACTTGTAAGTGCAAAATCTGTGTGAACGACAGTAATTCTGAAGCTCTGGGGTTTCCTTTGTTAAATCAATACCAGTAATGACTCGGGGAAGGAGGATGTCACTCCCAGTAGAAAGACCTGGAAAGGATGGCAGCTTCTTCTTGGTACGCTGTAACAACTAAAGCTAGACCAAGGGATGTCTTGGTTAGCTGTTGATGTTTCACCTCATGGTGAAGGCTCATGCATTTCACCAGCATGCAAGATCCTGCATTCTATTTTCTGAGTGTCCAAATCAGAAATCACAGACAGTCCCAAAGGCATTGTAAAGCCACTGGATCTATGTGGCCTTAAATCTACTAGTCCAACTCTAAAGTCCTAATCCAAATTAGTGAGCAAGCAAATGTGAACTTCAACCACAAAACAGGATAAAAACTGATCAAACTAATAGACTAAAACATTGTGATAACAATAACAAATAGCTGTAGCCTCTAGGGTGGAGAAGGGAACTGGTTTCAAAATGCATTCTCCAGGATCTCGGTGATAGGTTTGTCTCTTCCTTGTACTGCATGCGTTTTATCTGTAAAACTGGATGGTGCCTCTTGAATCGGTGTATATTTATTTCATGCATATTAGGACAAACAGCCTAATATCTGGGGGTGGTAAAGGACTTGTAGCACTTTAATGTAGTAGCTTTCATAAACTGGGAATCATGGATAGAATGCCTAGTGTTTTTAAAGTTGAATGGACTTCCTTTTATAATATATTTAAAATAAATTTTTAATGTGTTTTCTGAAAACAGTGTATGCAGAAATGACTGTCCCTGCCTGTTTTGCTCCAGGGATTGATTTCCCTTCTCTCTGCTTCTTAGGACAGTAAGCTCAGTTACCCTGGTCTGGTGTTTCCCCAGCACAGGCTTCCTGCCACATAAGGGACTACTACGTCCTTCCTGGCTGCCCTTTGCATCAGGTGTATCTGCAGGGTTTACTGTGGTCATGCCCAAGCGCTGCGTTAAGCAGACAAGGCAGATTCGGGCAGCTGGAGCTGCAGAGATGCCTGTGGGCACCTCTGTGTCTGTCCCTCACAGCTGCTTCCCTCCAGCTCTGAAGCCACCGGGATCAACCCATCGTGCCCCAAAGCTCCAGCCCATCGCCGGACCCTGCAGCATTTCAACTCAGACAAGTTTAAAGAGCCACAGCCGTGAGGGGAGGAGGCACGTGAGGAGAAATGTAAGATGTGGACAAGGCTGGAGGAGATTTGGAGGGAGGTCTGTTTGTGCAAGGAAGTGCTCCGTTCCCAGGGGAACTATGACCGTGGTGGGTGACTTGTGCTGAGGTAGGACACCCCTGAGGGATGGTGGCCATGGACAGTCCTTGTTGGTAGGGCACAGAGGAGCAGAGGAAACTTAGCCAAAGGAAGGAGGAGGAAAGGTGTTTACTTCAGTGTGCATGTTTCTTAAACTAAACCATTAAGTTTGCATTAATTAGCAACTAAGTAAAAAATCCTCTAGGTTGATGCAGTTGCAGATGATGCAGTGC